TTTGATTGAAGAATTCAATCCATTTACATTTAAAGTTATTATTGATAGGGAAAACTTTACTGTTATCATTTTTTAGTTGTTTTCTGTTAGTCTTGTATTTCTTTCTCTTTTGTCTGTCTTTTCCTCTCTTGCTGTCTGCCTTTATGTTTTGTTAACTTTTTGTATTAATATTCATTAATTCCATTCTTTTTTTTTTTTTGGTATGTGTAAGTTGTATAGATATTTATTTTTGTGGTTACCTTGGGGCTTATATATCTTATGCTTGGTTACAGTCTAATTTAAGTTGTTAAAATTTAAGTTCAATCCCCTACAAAAACTCTATACTTTAATTTCCCCCACTTTATGTTATTGTTGTCACACTTTACACGTGTGTTCATATTATGCATCTTTAAACATGTTTTTAGTTACACTTATTTTAAATACTTTTGTTTTTTGCCTTTTATATTTGACTTTAAAGTGAGCCGACCATTAATACAATAATACAGTATTCTGTATTATCAACATGTTTACTGTAACCAATGAACTTTATATTTTCTTATGCTAGCATGTTGCTGTTTACTGTCCTTTTGTTTTAACTTAAAGAACTCTCTTTTGCATTTTTTGTAAGGCAGGTCTAGTGGTTATAAACTTTTGTTTGTCTGAAAAGTCTTTATCACTCCTTCATTTTTGAAGAACAGTTTTCCTGAATATGGTATTTTTGGTTGGCTGTTTTTTCTTTCAGCACTTTGAATTTATCATTTCACTCCCTTCTGGACCGTAAGATTTCTGCCAACACATCTGCCGATAGTCTTTTGGGGGTTGTACATTACCTGTTACTTTTCTCGTGCTGCTTCCGCGATTTTCTCTTTGTCTATGACTTTTGAAAATTTGATTATAATGTGTCTCATGTGAATTATTTTGAGTTCATCTTATTTAGTAACTTTTGGACTTCTTGGATCTGGATGTCCATTTCCTTCTTCAGATCTGTGAAGCTTTCTGCCATTATTTCTTTGAATAAACTTTCTGGTCCTTTTTCTCTCTCTTCTCCTTGCGAGACTTACATAAGACATGTGATGCCCCATAAGTCCCTTAAGCTTTCTTCACTTTTTTTTCACTCTTTTTTTCTTTTTCTCCTCTGACTAAATTATTTCCAATGACTAGTCTTCTATTTTCCTGATTCTTTCTTCTCCTTTCTTAACATAAACTGTTGCTGAACCCCTCTCATAAATTTTTCAGTTCTGTTATTGCATTCTTCGGTTTCCTAGTTTATGTTTGGCATTTAAAAAATATTTTCTATCGTTGTTGAAATTCTCACTTTGATCATGCATTGTTCTTTTGACCTCAGTGAGCATCTATATGAGTTATTTAGAATTCTCTATCAGGTAAACCATATAACTCTTTTTTGTTAGGGTTTGCTTCTGGAGATTTATCTTGTTCCTTTGTTTTGATTCTCTATGTTGCCTGATTCTCTATTTTTCTTGACTCTCTGTGTCAGTGCCTGTGCATTAGATAAAGCAGGGATCTCTCCTGGTCTTCACAGACTAGCCTCATGCAGGAGATTACCCCCACCAGTCAACCCAGTGAGAGATTCTGGGAGCTTCTACCGACTCTTTCACTTTTCAGGGAGAAGCAGACAGTGGAAGTTTTGTCAGTTTATTCTGTCATAAGCCAGGAGGGTGACTAATGGCATCTGCTAGCCTAAGCTGTCATCCCCATTTCCCCTGAAACTACTAGAATGTGGTTCATGGAAATGTCTGAGTTCTAAGACTGTCAGGGCAGAGGCCAGTCTTCTGGGAAGCCCCTCAGAGAAGTCGGGGTACTCTTCAT